TAAAACTTAGTCTACACATACTGCTTCCCCTTCCGGACTCTTGCCTCCTTCACTTCTTGTGGCCTGGCTTCTGTTCCCTATTGAAACTACTCTTTCATCAGTGACTGTAGTTGGGTTCTCAAGTGTGTCATGTCTCTGTAGTGTTTGAATGTGTTGATCACCCTTTCCTTGTTTGTCATTTGCTTCTTCTTCCACTTCTGCCTTTTGACCTCTTGGCAGATAGTTCATTTTATATTTCTTCTTAAATAGATTGTCTTCCAGGCTTCTGTCCTCACCCTCCTCTTTCTCTTTATGGCTGAATAAAATTTCATTACAGCATTACTCACCATCGCCAAAAGGTATGCTCAACCCCAGTGTCTATCACAGACGAATGGATAAACTAAATGCAGCACATACAATGGGTAAAGCACATGACTGCTACCAGAAAAGTTGGGGGTTTGAGTCCACCAGCTGCTCTCTGGAAGAAAGGTGTGGCAGTCTGTTCCTGTAAAGATTTACATTGTGGGAGATACTCTAGGCAGTTCTACTTTTGTCCTACAGGTATTGAGAGGTTCAGTGGCATAGGATTTTAGTTGGAATAGACCTTTGAGAATCCTTTAATATTTAATGATAGAACAACAGTAAAGACTCGGGTTTCCAGAGAGTTAAGCAAATTTTCCTATTCCTGGATCTGTCAGTTTAGCCTGCTAAGCGCGCTGATCATGAACCAACCTATCATTCGTGGAGAACATAGCAATTAGCCTCGTTCAGCTGTGTGCCCTGTTGACCAGGACCTGCCTCTTTCTCCTCAGTGTCCCTCCTGATAATATGTCCAAAGTCTGGCCCTTCTGCCTTCTAAGGAGCTCTCTGGCTATACTTTTCCAACACAGATTTGTTTGTTCTTCTGGCAGTCCATGATACTTTCATTATTCTCCAGCACCATAATTTAAATTTATTGATTCTTCTCTGGTCTTCCCTATTCGTTGTCCAACTTTCAAATGCATATGAGGCAATTGAAAATACTGTACATTTTCTCAAATTAACATCTTTGATTTTGAGCAATTTAATTTTCTTCAGCTTCAGTCTGAACTTGCATCTGAGCAATTGATTGTCTTCCACAGCTGGCCCGTGGCCTTGTTTTCACTGATAATGTTGAGATTCTCCATTGTCTCTTTTCACAATATATAGTCAATTTAATTCCTGTGAATTCCATCTGGTGAGGTCCATGTGTGTAATTGTCATTTATGTTGTTAAAAAAAAAAAAAAAAAAAAAGGTACTTGCAATAAATAAGTTGTTGTTGTTAAGTGCCAACTCACAGCGTTGCCCATAAGGTTTTTGAGAAGTAGTTGGTGAGTTTGAACTGCCAGTCTTATGGTTAGCAGTCCAGCCCTTCTCCATCAGCGTCATACCAGGACTTTCCAAGTTTTGGTCTTGCACAATTCTATCATGAGATTTCCAGCACCATTTCTATCACCAAGTCCATATTTTCCAACTACTATTCCTTCCTCTTTGTTTCCAACTTCCCATTCTAATCACCAGTAATTATCAATGAACCTTCATAGCATGCTGATCAATTTCAGACTGAAGAAGTAGGTGTGCCATGGAGTCGGTTATGACTCATAGTGGCCCTGTATAGGGTTTCTGAGGAGTGGCTGATGAGTTTGAACTGCCAACTTAGCGGTTAGAAGTCCAGTGCTTATCCTAAAGTGCCACACTGGTCTTACATTTTGGGCATATGGACATTTTCTTATCACAAACAGCATTATACTTCAAGGTAGATCTTGAAATCCTGCTTTTGACGATGAATAAAACTCCATTTTGCTTCAGTTTGGCATTCCCAGCATTGTAAACCACTGTTGTTGTTAGGTGGCATCGAGTCGGCCCCGACTCATAGTGACCCCATGCACAGCAGAACAAAACACTGTCCGATCCTGGGACAACCTCATTATTGTTGCCACACTTGAGTCCATCAATACTGCCACCTGGCCAATCCATGTCGTTGGGGGTCTTCCTCTTTTTCTCTGACCCTCCATTTTACCAAACATGATAGCCTTTTCCAGCAACTAGTAAACCATATGATTGTCTAATTTCAATTTTCCAGTACCAGTTGATTTCAGCTCACTATTGCCTAGGATTTCTATCTTTATGCATTCAATTTCATTTTTTTTACAACTTCCAATTTTCCTAGATTCATACTTCAGACATTCCATTTTCTGAGTATTACTAGGTGTTTACAGCTGTTTCTCCTCATTTTGAGTTGTGTCCCCTTACCAAATGAAGGTCTCAGAAGCTTTGCTCCATACACATTGTGGTGAACTCTGCCTTGAGGAGGCAGCTCTTCCTCAGTCATATCCTGAGTACCTTCCAACTTGAGGGGCTCATTTTCTGCCTCTCTATATGACAGTGTTCTGCTGTTTATACGGCAGTCCCCTCTCTTCCTTTCTAGTGTGTCTTAGTCTGAAGCACCGCTGAAACCTGTCCACCATTGGGGACCCTGATGGCATTTAAAATCCCCAGCATCACAGCACCATGACAAACTGACAGATGAGTGGGGCTTTGCTTTATAGGGACCAAGAAAACGTCCTGTCGGATGTTTGCTAGGCCATACTCGCCTGCTGCATTTCCTATGAACTAGGTCTTCCAAGTACTAAAATATTCATTGCCATAATAACAGGTTTCATTGTTTTCTGCTGCCATATTCCAGGTACCATGCCAGGTCCTATAGATTCATTATCTTTATTCCTCCGTACTTTACTGGTAACTGAGGCAGCGAGATGAAACAACTTGCCAGAGACATTCAGCAAATGTGTCAAAAGTCAGAGTTCAACCAGTTTTATCCATCTCGAGTACTTGTGCTCTTTTTGCAATACCATAATAACCATATTCTTATACTTAAAGTTTTAAATTTGAAATAGTTATGAATTCATAAGAACTTGCAGAAATAGCAGTGGTCCCATGTGACTATTTTCTATAACTCATTGTGCCATTGAGTTGATTCCAACTCAGCATCACCCTATAGGGTAGAGTGAGCTGTTCCACTGGGGTTCCAAGGCTTGAAATCTTTACAGAAGCAGACTTCCTTATCTTTTCCCCATGGAGTGAATGATAGGTTTGAACCACTGACTTTTTAGTTAGCAGTCAACGGTTTTAACCACTTTGCCACCAGGGCTCCTGACCCAGCCCCCCTGATAACTGTATTGTTTTATCAAAACCCAGACACCGATTGGCAATTCAACTGCAGACATTATTTAGATCTCTCCAGTTTCTGCATGCACTTAATTCCACCTCTTTGTGTATAATTTTTTCGCATTTGATTCCATGTATAGATTTGCATAACCATCACCAACAATCTGTCACCTCAAGAGAACTCCCTTGTGATGTCCCCTTATGTCCACACTGTCCCTCCCAGCAGCCCCTGGCAAACACTGCTCTGTCTTTCGTTTGTAGTGTATCCTTTAAAGAAGGTTAGATTAAGGCAGTCATACAGTATGGGATCTTTGGAGATTGGCTTTTGAACTTAAGTGTGATGCCCTTAAAACTCATCTTGATTGCTGTGTCTATCCATATTTGATCTTGTGTTTCAGTCAAATCCTAGGCTTTGTGAATTTCCAGACAACCTGTGAGCTATATTTATATGTTATGAAGAAATTCTTAGTTCTTATGTCATGTTTTGAGAAGAATTTAAAGTAAGAGAAAAACTGTTGAGTTTCTTTGTATTCTCTCAAAAGGACATTTTTAAAGAACAGGAATTCAAGGGATACTTTTGTTTTCTTCATTGCTGAAATCTACATTTTGATGGATAGTAGTTTTGTTTAACCCTTCCCCTCTTTGTTCATATGAGTGTATATTTTATATTATTATAGTCACAGTGTACTTTGGTCGCTGCTTTTCTCCACTCAAACAAATTTTTCCATGTACCATAATTATTGGAATAGCTGCATGCTGGTCTATTTTGTTGGCTAGCTATGTTTTTCTCCACTCCAGTGTCCACGCCTGGCTCCATTGGTCATCTTTATGCCTATCCCTTTTCTCCTCTTGATGAACGATAGTCCCAAGGTAATTTCTTAGGAGTCACATTAGTGGGCTAATTATGGCTCTTTAGATGTGTGTCCCCAGATCTTGGCTTGAGTCTCAGCCCTGCCCCGGGTCAGTAGGCCAGTTATTGGAAAGTGTTACAACTTTGGTTGCCACACTTTAGAACAGGGCTTTGTCTGTGTCCTGGAATGATTGTGAGGATAAAATGAGACGGTGCATTCAAAGCCCCTTGCTATTGCAGGCTCAGGCCCAGAGGAGGGCTTCTGTGTGTGGCAGTTGCTGTGATAAGCTTGTTGTGATGATTGCTGTATCACTCTGTAACATGACTCCATCCTATCAGCACTCACCGGACCAGTTGCATCCCACATTGAGAAGGATTGCTATGTGGGAAGGTCCATGTGGTCTGGGCAACGATGACTCAGACAAGCGCTCCTTCCACATGTGGGTTTGTAGGTGGGGGTGGCGGGGTGGAGGCAGATACAGACATGAAAGGCATGGTAACAAGAGAGAATGAAACATGTCAAGTTGTGGGACTTCAAAGGTGATGCCTGCTGAACCAGAACCTAAACGATGGGAAGAATGTTGGTAATTGGGACTATAGATCATCCCAGCAAAGTGAACGCTTTGAGCAGAGCACATGGACCTGAAACATTCAAAGACTGGTGAAGGGGTTCACTGTGGCTGGTGTACAGAAGCTGTGGGAGAGACGTCTGCAGAGACCCAACATCATGGGGGCCCTGGAATTGCAGAGCTAAAAGTTTTGTGTTTAGTCTGAAGGAAGGAAGGAATAGGCCATGTTGGGGAAAACATTGAGACTCTTGTAATGCTTGCTCTTTCGTGTGTGATTTTGATCATGTATGTTCACAAATAGGTGAAAGGGCCAAGGGAAAAATTTCCCTGAAAGCATACAGTGGTGGTGGTGGTTTTTAATGTTTTACTTCTATCCTACCAAGAAATACTGACTTTGTCTTTTTGTCCATTACAGGAGTCTGCTCTAATACTTGATGTTCCTCTGGGTGTGATCTCAAGAATTGAGAAAATGGGAGGCGCTACAAGTAGAGGAGAAAATTCCTATGGTCTAGATATTACTTGTAAAGTAAGAGATTCAATTCTTTCTTATGCAAAGAAAAAGACACATGAGTGTTGAATGAGTATAGAAAATAAATATGGGTTTTAAAAGAAAAAAAAAAAAATCCAAGTCCTTGACTTATCTAAGATTGCTCCTAGAAATGGCTCTTCAAAGCCTCGTAGCTGAACTTCCCAAAATGGCTCCGGGAGCTAGGTCTCCTAATATGATCTGCTGCTCTCACTGACTGATGGCTCAAGGGCAGTTGATGAGCTTGACTGAGAAGGAAGAAACCTTATCAAGAAAAGATTTTTCAACATATTGGTCCTTTCTGAAGTCTGCTCCTGGTGTCCCTGGATAAGGATGGATGACCAGCTTGACACCTTCACTCTGTGAACGGCAGGAGGAATTCAAGAGCCTTTTCCCTTTGTGAGCAGCTCATATCCTCAGCTTTACCAATCTTTGTAACTTTGGCTTGTTGTTGTTGTGAAGTGCCGTCGAGTCAGTGCCGACCCATAGCGACCCTGTACAAGGTTTCCGAGGGTGTAAATCTTTACGGGAGTAGAAAGCCTCATCTTTCGCCCGCGGAGCTGCTGGTAGTTTCGAACTGCTGACCTTCAGGTTCGCAGCCCAATTCGTAGCCACTATGCTACCAGAGCTCCTTTGGCTTAGATCATCTTTGGCTTAGATCAACTTTGGCTTAGATCATCTTTAAAAGCAGTAGTGGCCTAACTTTGTTTCGGAATGATGAGAGGCAGAGACCTGCTGATAACAAAATGTAATCAGTTACAATAACAGCAGCTTTCTTCAGCATCTGTGTCAGTCCAAACACCAGATGGAGGTGGCTGGTGGCATCCCCAGTTTATAGGTAGGGAGCCTGAAGATCAGGAGAATTAGGTAATTTGGCTAGGATCACACAAGAAATGTCAAACTTGAGATCTAAACTGAGAGACAATCATTTTGTAAACAACAGAACAAGTCCTCTGGCAAGAAAGCCTGCCAACCGCTAGGTATTAGGCATCTAGAGACTTCCATCTGCAGACTAATGCTGGAGCCTGAGACTAACTGGGAGCAGCTCGGAGGGGGCATCTGTTCCAGTCCTTGTCAAGCCTAGATATGCATCAGCATAACCTGGGAAACTCTGTAAACTTTCGATTTTAGGGAGATAGTACTCTCTGAAGGTTGGGACTCTAAAGCATTTCAGGTGAACCATCGATCTAATCCAGGGGTTGGCAGATGTTCTGTAACGGGCCAGATAAGAACTATGTTAGGCTTTGGGGGCCATATAGGATCTCTGTCACATACTTTTCTTCATGAGGTTCCCCCTAACCCCAACCCTTTGAAAGTGTAAAAAGCATTCTTAGCTGGAGGGCCATTGAAAACCTGACGTGGGCTGAAGTTTGCTGGCCCAGAACAGTCTGAATTCTTCCTGGCCTGTCCTAAGTGAGATGACTTACCAAGATTTGCCCAGGGAGTCAGTGGGAGAGTCCAAATTAGAACCCAAGTCTCCTTTCCTCATCTCATGAACTTGCGATTTTGGTAAAACCATCATAAGTATGTTTGGATTCTGACCACAGTTGGATGTTTATATCTGCAGTTGATAAGAGAACAAGACCCACTGCATTCTTTGAGAGACCAAAGGGTTATCTTACTATTAATTTTGAACTGAAATTCTCCATCACTTCCACCTTTGTTTTGTTTGTTTGTTTCTATTTTAATGTTAACACTTCTTATCTACAATCCCAGTTACTGTTTACCCTTTGAGGGGTCCAGATATTTGGGGATTAACTTTTCAAAATTATGTCTTATTGTTGTAAAAACATACATAATATAACGCTTGCCAATTGAACCTTTTATCGTGTACAATTTAGGGACTTCAATTACATTTGTCATGTTGTGCAATCATCAGCAATATCCATTGCCAAATTTCCATTGCTATAAACTAGGGAATTTTTTTAAGGAAAGTTTTTGAATTTTGCCTAATAGGGTCCATGGGAGTAGAGTGTTATAGTAAAGTCTTCAAAGAGAGTGAGAATACTATTTCGATCATTCCAAAGTCATTTTCTCATTGCAGGGTTTTTTGTTGTTATTTGTTTTCTTTCATCTGTTTGCTACCTTATCAATAGGAAAAACTTGAATTCCCTCAAAAATAGTAAGGTGCAACACATTCCTACGCTTTAACTACTTTGATTAAAGGATTAGGAACAATGCACAGGGCATGAACCTCAAGTGTTTCGTAACCGTCAAATCAGTTCCAACTCATAGCAACCCTGTGTACAACAGAACAAAACACTGCCTGGTTCTGTACCACCCTCACAGTCGTTGCTACTCTCAAGTGTTACATATGCATACTTCTTGGAATTTGATTGAGCCCAAAGAGATGGCCTGGAAGAATGAATATCTAATGTAATTTAATTCCATTATCTCCCAGGCAGCACCTGTGTCTAAAGAATCAGATCCCATTGTGCAGTAGAAGTTGGTTGAGATGGGTTCTGGTATGTAGAATGAAAGACCCAGCATCGCGTGTCTCACAGGTCAACATTTGCCTGCTGTCAGTAACCACTGTATAACTGCACCGCTCTCCCCAAGCAGAGTTCCAGCTCCTACACAGCTTTTCTACCCACTTTGCACATGGAGATTTCTGCTTGCCGGGAGCACCTTTCCCACAGTGGCTGTACATCACTATTGGACATTGTCCAGCCACAGTGGTGCAGGTGAATTACATACAAGAATGACTTGAAAGTTGTGAATTCTTCCTGCAGGTCCCATTCCAGACCCTGTTGACGACTTGGAGTCTTATAAACAAAACAAAACAAAGGAAAACCATGCCCCTACAAGCCTTCTCTCTTCTTCTCCCCAGTCCATTTAGTATGTTGAAAGACAGCACTGTATTTGAAGCCAGAAGGGATTTGTCTTTTCTTTAGAAATGCGTCATGGAAATGATGCCTCAATAAATCAGCCCTTCAGAAACATCGTAATGGGGTGTGTTTTCTTCAGCTCTGATTATATAGCATCATTGCCATGTGACCCAGTAGTTGAATAGGCTGAGGATCTAAGTGGGAGGCTATTATGCCACAAGGTTCTTTCCCAGACCCTGACGATTCAAATTCAGAGGTCCCAGGTGGAATTAACTGCTCAGTATGTGCTTCTGTTTCTGGTAAAGATTTGGTTATTTGTTGTCTGTGGGTTATTTGCCTTTTGCACTTTAATTTTCTTGTTGGAAAGATGGAATCATAATTCCTTCGCCGTTTAATTAGAGCTGAATTGGATGGCAGAGGGCAGTTCCTTGAATTATTTGCACTTCGGCACATTGAATTACTGATAGAATAAATAGGTATCGAGAAATGGTCTAATTTCTGGCCAAGGAAGTTCCTGGGAAGCCCCTGATCCCTGAGGGTCTTTGGCTAACCAAGTACTGGACATACAACTGGTTGCCAACCCTGCCTCTCAAAGTAAGGCATCTCATTGGGACAGCGTAGTTCTTCTATTTAACTTTTAGTTTGCATCATGGACCAACAACGAATATCTCAGGTTACTGCAAGGAAATTTTGATCAACTACTTTTTTTTTAAAAGAGTGTATAGTTGTTGGCTTTGAAAACAGAAAACGCAGAAGCACAGATCTGAGAAGGACAAGTAGATGCCATCTACATCCAGAGCAATCAGTCTTGGTTGCTTATTAGAGAAGTTAGAATCTAGTTATTTATACGCATTTCCTACTGTTTGCATTTTTGAATGGCCTGTATACAACAAGACTTGCAGGTCCATACTCACCAGCCACTCCTTGGAAACCCTATATATGCCCGCTATGGGTCAGAACCGACTTGATAGCACGCAACAACAACAACAACAAGCTCTGCTGTAGGATAAGCACTCGTCCATAAAGGCAGTTTGAACCACTAAACAGGGTTGCTGTGAGTCGGAACCAACTTGGTAGCGCATAACAACAAGGAGAAGAGTATGCGGGAAATAATAAGCGAGAAAGCACTTTGAAAGCTATTGAGACTGTAATAGCCAAGAGGACAGTCTGCTTTGCTCTTGCTGCGTCTCCAGGATCCAGCACACTGTTGGCTTTTCTGAACAGAAAGTGCACTGCAGAGGAGGACACCTTCTAACATTCCACCACCTGTTAGCCGCAGCACCATGATTGTCTCTAAAAGAGACAACCTAACAACGCCAGCCTGGAAAATACGACGTTAGATAACGAATCAACATCTAAGGGAGGCTGTTTGGTTTGGGACTGCTAGAAGAACAAACAAATCTGTGCTGGAAGAAGTACAGCCAGAGTGCTCCTTAGAAACCAGTATAGGGGGAATTTGTCTCTCACACTTCAGGCATATTATCAGGAGGGATCAGTCTCTGGAGAGGGCCAACTTTTTCATGATGGGCCTGATCCAGTGATATAATTTAGTTGTGATTGTTAATAGACTTAGTTGTGATTGTTAAGATTTGGTGATCTGCTGCTGCTGTATGCGATCCAGTTGGTTCTGGCTCTCATAGTGACTCTAGATCAGGTTTCTGAGGCTGTAAATCTTTATAGGCCCAGAAACCCTCCCTCTCATTTCTCCCAAGGAGCAGCTGGTGAATTTGAACTGCTGACCTTGCAATTGGCAGCCAACTGTATAACCCACTAACCCACCAGGGCTCCTTTGGAATTCTAACATAGGTTTAAAATGAGCCATCTCGGAAGTAGGAGGTGGGATCTCATTACCCTCAAAGATGAAGAATCAGGAGCAGAGCATATCCTTTGGACTGAAAGATCCCTGAGCATTGACCCTCCTCACCCCAGGGACAGGACGCAGAACAGAGCAGTAAAGCTGAGTGACTCTGGGTATGACGTTTGCTTGCAGAGTGGGGTGCCTCCAGACACTTAATTAGGAGCTAGAGCCAAGTGCCTTCAGACTGAGACAGTGTCAGCAGCCCTCCAGGAACTTGGTAACATTGTCAGGGCAGAGAGAGGCCTGCCTGTGGCCATGGCTGAGGAAAGGCTGTCCTGACTGGTGTGCCCTGAGCATTCTGACCCTAAATTGTAACCTATCAACTTCTCTAATGGTGTGGTGGTGGTTATGTGCCATGGAGTCAGTTCGGACTCATAGTGACCCTGCACAGAGTTTCTGAGGCTCTAAATCTTAATGGGTGCAGAAAGCCTCATCTTGCTGCCACAGAATGGCTGGTAGTTTCGAACTGCTGACGGTGAGGTTAGCAGCCCGACTTGTAACCACTATGCTACCAGAGCTCCTTAACTTCCCTAGTAAACCCCATGAACTGTGAGTTTGGTGTCTGAGTTCTGTGTGGCTAGCTGAGTAGAATACGCTGGGCGAGTGATGGGGGGGTGTCATTTTTTTTGCAGTTTCCATAGTTACAGCCTTGGAAACCCTATAGAGGGTCGCTATGAGTCAGAATCTACTCGATGCCAATCAGGTTGGTTTTGCTTTTTGTTTATTTTGTTTGGAAGGAGCCCTGGAGACACAGTGGTTAAGCGCTTGGCTGCCAAACAAAAGGGCAGCAGCTTGAACCCACCAGTGGCTCTGTGGGAGAAGGACCTGGCAGTCGCTTCCATAAGGATTACAGTTTTGAAACTCTAAAGGGCAGTTCTACTCTGTCTTACAGGGTCGCTGAGTCAGAAGTTGACTCAGCACCAGTGGGGTTTTGTTTTTTTGTGGGGTTTGGGGGAGAGTGGGAAGAACTTTGTTTGGCAGAAGCCTTGGTGACTCAGTACTTAATAGCTTAACTGCTAACTGAAAGGTCTGAGGTTCGAATCCAGCAGCAGCTTAGTGGGAGAAAGATGTGGCAGTCTGCTTCCTACAGGGCAGATTTACTGTGGTGCCGCATTAAACTTGATGGCAATAGGTATTTCCTTTCCGTTGGTAGCTGCAGGGTCAGCAGTTCAAACCCATCAGCCGCTCTCGGAAACCATATACAAGGTCACTATGAGTCAATGGCTCTTAACAACAATAGCAACCATATAAATAACAGAATTTTACTGTCACAGAATTCTACATAAACCACATTGTTTTTGTTGCTGTGTGCCATGTCTCACAGAAACCCTGTCTAGGGTTTCAGAGGAGCAGCTGGTGGGTTCGAACTGCTGACCTTAAGGTTCAAACCAATCTTATGGTCTAGTGTTTATCTTACAGTGCCATACCAGGACTCCATTTATAAAATGGTACAGCCACTGTGGAAAAATAATTTGAAGGTTCCTCAAAGAGTGCAACATAGAATGACCATATGATCCAGGAATTGCACTTCTTGGTGAATACCCCCAAAGACTTGAAAGCAGGGATTCAGATAATTGTTTATGGATGTTCATTATAGCACTGGTCACAATAGACAAAAGGTGGAAGCAACTAAATGTCCACCAGTAGATGACTAGATAAACAAATGTGGTCTATCAGTACCGTGGAATTCTACTCGGCCATGAAGAAAGAAGGAAGTCCAGGTACAAGCGAAAACACAATTCAAGTCGGTCACAAAAAAGGCAAATATTGTATGGAACAAAGACCAAACTTTATCCGTGGGTACCAGGGGCAGGTGGAGTTGTGGCTTCTGCAATGTGGATAATGGGGATGGATGCACAACAAGATGAACACAGTGCCACTGAATTGCACATGTAAAACGTGTCGGAATTGGCAGGTGTTTTGTTTTTTATATGTTTACCACAAGACATTTAAGAACTAGATTACTTGCATTAGACTGTAAAATACCAATCGTTTTCTAATTTTTAAAAGCAGACTTTAAAGTATGAGGGGAGAGAGAGGTTGCTTCTGTATTTTAATGACATGTTTGACAATTTTGAGATTATATGTGATAGCAGCTCCTCTTTTTAAACGTCATATGAATAAAATGCCGTTTCATAATGAAACACCCCAGAAGCCACTTAAAGCAGATTGACACTTTAGACCCTGTGCAAGGCAGGCTTTGCTTTTTCTTCTTCCAGAGTGGATTCTGGTTCTGTCTCCTCTGTAGCACCACTCGCTTTGGTTTTGTTTTGGTTTTTTTTTTTTTTTTTTCCCTTTACATTCATAGCTATAACAGGAATAGTTTCAGATGTTCCTGAATAGGACATTCCACACCACCATGTAAAAACCAAGGTTTGCTCACTATACTAGATTAATTACCCTTTCAGGTAAGTGAATGTTCTACTCCATTAGATCACTAAGAGGTTTATTTTGCTAATTCACGTGACTGTATTTGGAGACTGAATTCCCTAAATTCTCCCTTGCCCATAGGACATGAGAAACCTGAGGTTTGCGTTGAAGCAGGAAGGCCACAGCAGAAGAGATATGTTTGAGATCCTCACCAGATACGCCTTTCCCTTGTCACACAGTCTGGTAAATTCTGGGGCTCTCCTCAGCGGGCGTGGGAGGAACCTGAGGGTCAGGATTGTCTTCATGTAGTCTGGGCCGCACTCGGTTGTGTGAGGTGGACGAGGACTGATCTAGACCTCCACTGCTGGGCTGTGCCAATTGGGCTGCACATATGACCAGGCCACAGTGCCCATGTGTGTCCCTCTTCCATCCCCAAGGGCCCTCCGTCCGGGCCAGCCCTCTCGCAAATGGAAGTGCTAGTGAAGCAGGCTGTGGGTTGGTCCATGCAGCTAGCCAGCACATTCCAGAGTCCGGTGCTGCCAAGGTGGCAGCTGACGAGTGACACATGACAGACTTTTGTGGCTCCGTTGGAAATGAGAACAAATCATCGGAGCCTAAATGCCATCTTGGCAAATATGTTTTTAAAATACGGCTGTGTGCAGTAGGTAGTGCAGAGAGCAGCAGCCCAGGGTGGGTTTATCCCTTAAAAGAATGCCATTCCAGCTACCATTAGGGTAGCATCTAGTAGGTATTTGGCAGCATAGATGTAAGCATTTAATTCATTACAATGTATGACTTCGTCCACTGGGTGATTCAGTATGTGCATGTTAAACTTGGCCTTCCTATTCATCCTTCTGTTTGAACACTCCTATAATTCATTTTTTACCATGTGACTAAATAACCTTTCTAGGAGTCATGCTTCTAAAATTATTTTTCTTTTCATTCTGCCTTGGCCTTGCCTTCTTTCATCTGTCATGCTTTACTTGCATCTTCCTCTCTTACTATGCTTCTATCGTCCTCTCTTACCTGCCACCTCCTTCTCCTCTGGTTGACATTAAACAAACTTGGAGGCAAACACTGCCTAAGGAGAGAGCAAGAAAAGAATGTGTGAATACACACAGACACATACACCTTGATTTAAGATAAATACATAGGACAAATGGTACTGTGGGCTCAACTGAAAGTGATGAAAGAGATCAGTGAGTAGAGGAACTGCCCTGTCTCATGGCTCTTCTTCCACTAACTGTCTTTTACTTTGTTTTTCTCCCCCCCCCCCTTTTTTTTTTTTGCAATCAAGGTCTGAGATTTTTCTCTAATGAAACAAGGCCTCTCCCTCCCCATATTTCCCAGCAGTTGTTTCAGTCAAAGGAAATTCATGATTGATGGCCAATTACACAGAGACCGTGCTAGGTCTAGAAGACTGTGAAGGACTTATCGGTTGGTTGCAAATTAAAATGTAGTGCTTGGAAACAAATGCAATTATATTATGTAGTTAGACTTGATTTTCAGCCTTTGCTTAGATTTTGGTTAAATATGTGACTTGAAAAAAAAACTATTAAATATTTGAACTATATTTGGATAAAAATACTTTCATGGGAATGCATCAAGGAGCTCTGGTGGCTCTGTGGGTCAGGTGTTGGGCTGCTAACCATAAGATCAGCAGCTTGAACCCACCAGCTGCTCCATGGGAGAAAGATAAGGCTGTCTGCTCCCGTAAAGATTGGCAGTCTCAGAAACCCTATACAGGGTCGCTATGAGTCGGAACCAACTTGATGGCACTTACCAACAGCAGAATGAAAGTGGGAGTCTACTTCATGCAGATTCAGCTTGGGAATGTGTTCTGTTTTGGGTTTTGCAGACCTGGCCTTAAACTATCAGAAACTCAAGAATAATTCACACAGCAGGTTTGAAGGAGCACATCTCCTATAAGATCTTGTTCCATCTGTCATCCCCATTATCTGGCATTGCCTGTCTGTTTGCTGGCCTAGGTTTCCTCCCAATTGTGATCTGTGTTGGAGTCTTGGTGTGGTGCTGTAGGATAAGTACTGGACTGCAAGGTAGGTTTGAACCACAGAGTTGGCGGTTCAAACTCACTAGCTGCTCCTGGGAAACATTATACAGGGCCTTAATAAACACTCAACAGTACTTAATGACAACAACAACATTAGGTGTTAGACCAGATTTCGCCTTAAGCTACTGTCCCACCATTCACTCAGTGCAAATCTTCTGGAAAGAATATTCATTCCTCCAGCCCATTCCAGTATCCAGGAGCTCAGACCCCTCCCTCACTGGCCAAATATAGTGGCTGATTTCAATCTTCATGCCATTTGATCCCTCCCTGGCATTAAAAAATCGTTATACCCTCTTCTTGAAAGCCATCCATCTTGGCTTCTGTGTTACTGGACCGTCGTGACTCTTCCTTCCCAGTCTCCATTGACTTTGTCTTTTCTGTGAAAGGAAGCCATCTTCTCATGTTACTCCCTTTCCCTTGGTGGCACTGTGGTTAAGCTCACCCTTCAACATCAGGCTGGAATCGTCAGTACTTTTCCAGGCCCTTTGCATTCCCCAGTGGGAGTTCAGCCTCCTGTTCACATGGTCTGCTGTTGAACTTACCAGGGCCTTCTGTTAGCCATAGCTAATGATGCGTAGCAACTGCCTGGGCCCTTGTTACGTTGTGAGCTTGTCAAGGTAAGGGTGGCCTTTATCTCTTTGGCTACAGCATGACTTGTACATGGGAGTTGTAGAATAGCAACTTTTTTTTTCTCTTTTAATTTAAGTTTTTAGGACATATTAAAGACAAAAGCACTGTATGGAAACAAATGGCATGAATTTCTGAGTGTTGTTGGTCTAAAACCAGACCTTGGAGTTCCTTTTTGGCTGTTAGAACCATTCACCAAAACCCAACCTGTGACTGCCAAGTTGATTCTGACTGATAATGAATGACTCTATAAGACCAAGTAGAACTACCCCGTAGGGTTGCCTAGGCTGTCAGCTCCATGGAAACAGATTGTCAGCTCTTTTTGCTGCAAAATGACTGTGTTTGAACCACCAAACTTTTAATTAGTTAAGTGCTTAACCATTTGTACCACCATGACTCCATAACCAGGTACACATGTTGTTAAATAAACAAATCAAATTTGTAAAGTCTATGAAAGCAGTCTTTGTAAACTTATTTTAGACTCTCCCTCTCTAAAAGAGACCCAGGCCATGGTATTTTCAGTTGCCTCATGTGTATGTGAAAGTTGGAACAGAAGACTGGAGAGAATTGTTGCATTTGAATGATAGTATTGGCGAAGAATTGTTGAAATTACCATGGACTGCAAGAAGAACAAACAGATGACTCCCAACAAGATGGATTGACCCCGTGGCAGCAGTCATGGGCTCCAACATAACAATTGTGAGCATGGCACAGGACCAGGCAGGGCTTCACTGTGTTGTGTATAGGATCACTGGGAGTTGGAACCACTAAAAGTTATCCTTTAAAAGCAAATAGTTTGAAACCAGAAACCAAACCAGTCCAAGATATAGACACAAACAGAGCAGCAGTTGACACTGCCTTTGGAATGCCAGTCCTCAGTATGCAAGCCAACATGTGCATTGGCTTAGAAATCAAGTTCATTTCAGAAAACAGTGTCGGTGCATGCAGAGTTCTGCTGTTGAGTTGGCCCCGGCCTCCTGATGACCTCATGCTCAGCAGGATGATCCGTGTAGAGGTGCTCCATGTAGGGGAGCAGTAGCCAGGCTGAGAGGACTGTATTTGTGCATGGGGAAATACAGGAGCAAGGAGGGATGGTTTCTAGAGCAGGGTCCTGGGGAAGTCAGGATGTGCCCAAGACCAGTTGATAGGGCAGTTCTGGATAGAAGAAGGGACAATTATTTCTCTGAGACAGGAGGCAAAGTTAAATTTTCAAACTGCCACAGTGGGGACCTTGGGAGTGTTCCAGAAAGGGATTTCCTGGAAGCGTAATGTAAGCTTGACTACAGTAAATACAAAGGGTCCTGCCTGAAAACCTGACTTCTACTAATATCTCGGAAACTGGTAAACCAATCTCCGACTAGTTGTGTGCTTTCCCTGGCCTGTGAAGTCGGACGTCAACTTGCTAGCAGATCCGTGAACTGGAGGCTGGAGGCTGGAGGCTAATAGCCCTGGGTCCAAATCCAGCCGTGAATAGCTCTGAGTGGGCTGTTTGCTTCCAGACCATCCCTTTGGCTCTCGCTGGCGTCTGCCCCCACCAATATTTTCATCACTCAGTGTGTTCAAGTCAGGAGGTAAACTTCAAATTGAACTTCACCTACCACTTGAGCAGTTTGACAACACAGAATCAACCCTGAGTAATTAACTTGTTTCTTTCTGCATCCTTTCAGCCCAGTAAGACTTAAACATTTTGTGGGGAACATTTTCTGTTTAGGACACAGCATTTATTTTCTTGTTTTACTTTTTCC